GACTGTGCTCAAAGGCAGCATTTGCAGATCAATAAGTGGATCTAGTTATCTCTGTGTTAATTAAACTGTAGCATGTCTTGCATATCTTTGCAACCATAGAACGTAGCCAAGTTTTGTCTGCTTACCCGTTTTATTGCAGACATATTTGGAATTAGCGACCACAATCTAATGTACAGCCAAGAAGCTGTGGAGGCACCCGAGGGTTCTGCGGCGACTGATCACGCTGCTATTGAAGCTAGAGTAAGTATTTAGCCTAATATCATAAGTGACATCTGCAGTTTCCCTTATTTAATTGCATATTTTATAATCATCAGTATATGTTTTCTTTCAAAGATTCTTTCCAGAGAGAGTCGATGTACTTGTTCCCCAATTTTCCTTTTGGGGCTAATACTAAGATGGAAATTCCTGCGGGTAATTTTCTGGTACTTCAAATTTTCTTATAATTCTCTACTTACCAAATTGTCCTTCACCCTAAGCCATCATAATTCCAATTAACGAACACTTCGGCCTTCTATGCAACTGCTTGCGTACTTTTCTTGGATTACTGAAGGCTGTATATGACATTTGCAGACTGCAGACCACGTGTAGGCCTAAATAGCGCTCTGGTTAGCCTGAATAACGCCCCGGTCAGCCTGTTTGCGGTTAGCCCTCGGTTTTGGAAATGGGTAAATGATATGGTAAATGGTAAATGTTCCTGACTGAGGAACAGATTCACGATGTTTGTGTTTGTTTGCTTCTTGTCAGGTTCTTCGAGCTCAGAATTTAGTAGCAGCTGAAGCGGCACAATCAGGACCAGGCCAGCCCGGTGGGGTATATCCCCCAGGGGGGATCCCCACAAGTCAAGAAGGAATGGCGTTACCCAAGGGTTTACTTCATTCAGTGCCTTTAAGCGAGAGTAACATGAATGCTCGGCAGAAAATTCAAGCAAAAATCGACAGCGAAAGGTTCATTAAGCCGACACCAAAGGATACAACCAGGTTCCAGCCTAAGCAGGTTGTTAAGGTGTGTTTCAAGCTGTACTTACCTTGCCTGTCACTTGCTGGTTTAAACTGTCTTGTGTACTATAGACCGGTTTTCATNAGAACCAAATATGGATTAAAATGTGCATAGATATCCCTTGAAAACTTGTACCTTGTAAGTTGTTGTTGTTTTTTTACACTAATCATGGTTCATTTATCTTAATTTTCTTTGGAAAGGCTCCATCACCAACTACACTAGTAGAGTTTATAGCGATTGATGAAGAACACGAAGGAGAGGAACTAGTGAAAGACTTTGCTTCTTTTCACATCAGAAACGAAAGTCCTTCACCTGAAATGTAAGCTCTGCAGATGCTTCTCATTCGTTTCGTTCATGAATTTTAAATAAAATGACTGTCTGGACGTTTGTTCGGGCCAGAATAACTTGAGCGTAATGAAGACCGTGTTAAAGGGGTCGCCGTGAGGCGGAGTTAAGTTTTGAAAATATAAGTAATCATCTGTGCATTGAGTTTTTCCACTGACATTAACTTAAGTTCAGGTCACTTACGCTGCATGTTTTGCTTTTGCTTAATTTTTATTATCTAATTGTAGTTTTTTTTAATCTTATGACAGCGACTTGAAGACGACAAACAGTGGAGGAGACGAGGTTGAAGCTGAGGTGTCTGTACGTCAGTGTCCCTTGGGGGTACATGTCTCCGATCTCGTTCTGATACAAAAATGCGCATGCGTAACAAGCAAAGAGGAACATGAACAGTACGAGGCGTGTCTAAACAGCGCAAGGTAACAAACACGCTGAGTTCTGAATGATATCTTAATTATTTCTGCGT